CAACACAGCTGAATTACAGGTCAAATGAAAGTTTCACTGGATATTCCAAAGATCAGTCACAGATTAAAACCTTTTAGCAGGGCCTGGCATGATGGCTCAATTGGTTAGTCCTCTCCCTTTAAGTGCTGGGATCCCATATGTGTGCTGATTAGTGTCCTGGTTGCTCCACTTCCCATCCAGCTTCCTGTGTTGAGCCTGAGAAAAGCAGTAGAGGACGGCTCAAAGCCTCGGGACACTGCACCTACATGGGAGACCTGGAAGAAGCTCCTGATAAACCCAGCTCCAGTCATTGTGGCCACTTAGTGACTGCGCCAGTGGATGGAAGATTCTCCTGTCTATCCTCTCTGTATATCTGCCTTTCCAACAAAAACAAATCTTTTTTTTATAGGTTTATTTATTTATTGGAAAGGCAGATATACAGAGAGGAGAGACAGAGAGAAAGATCCTCCGTCCGATGATTCACTCCCCAAGTGAGCGCAATGGCCGATGCTATGCCGATTTGAAGCCAGGATCCAGGAACTTCTTCCAGGTACCCCACATGGGTGCAGGGTCCCAAAGCTTTGGGCCGTCCTCGACTGCCTTTCCAGGTCACAGCAGGGAGCTGGATGGGAAGTGGAGCTGCTGGGATTAGAACCGGCGCCCATATGGGATCCTGGCGCATTCAAGGTGAGGATCTTAGCTGCTAGGCCATGCCGCTGGGACCAAAAACAAATCTTAGAAAAAAAAAAATCAGTAAAGTGTGAGCCTTGACCACTTCCGATTATTTTTGGCGATCCCAACTGTATGTACCAAATAGAATGACATGTTGTGTGCTCGATGTAATTGGGTTTTGCAGAAACCCCATTCCTACGTCTGAACAGATACTCAACAAAGCGCAGGCACAGTTTTGATCATAAGGTAGGTCCAAAGAGTCAACGAGCTCAATCTGGCCTGTATGTGTCAGACGAACAGGTATCAGTTTACAAATGAATGATTTGTAACAAGTGTTCATGTTTTGTGAGATGTCAGCATAGTCTTTGTTTTCTTCAATGTGATTATCTGGTTTCACTTTAGAAACGCTGACAGATGCTGTGTACACCTGCCATGTTTTATGAGATGATGTATAGCTATAGGACACGATAAATCAACTCTGCTTGAAGCCTCCCGCAGCTGAACTTCATAGAATACTGATGTTTCCTAAACATGTAATGTTGGGGAGCGGGAATGGTGGCATAACAGCCTGATCCTCCACCTGGATTACTAGAACCGCATACCTAATGGGTACCTGTTCAAGTCGCACACACTCCACTTCCAGTGCAGCTCCATGCTTAGGACCTAGAAAAGCAGTGGAGGATGGGCCAAAGCCCTAGGTCAAGGCATTTGCATGGAGACCTGGAAAAAACTCCCCGATCCCAGTTTTGGCTCAAACCAGCTCTGGGTGTTGCAGCCATTTGGGGAGTGAACTAGTGGTTAGAAGATCTTTCTACACCTCTCTTGCTTTCTCAGTAACTCTTCCTTTCCAAGAAAGCAAATAATATACACGTATATTTTTTGAAAAAAAAAAAATGTAATTTTGGTATGAGTCCAAATTTTACAATATAAGCCTCATACTCTTTTAATTTCAGCAGCTTATTTTTTCAGGTGGAATACAATCAATACAACATGATCTGGTTTCGTTCCGGTTAATTTATATAATTACAGTAATACTCTTCAAGAATATTACCCTCAGTGAGTTGAAATTTGAGTAGTTTAAATGTGATGAGACTCAATGAGTCCTGTAGCCAGCAGACTTCATTAATTTTACATTTTTTTTCATTTGTGTAGTCAAATGGCTATGCCATTCACCACTGCACATGAATCAGTAAATCACTCAATTGCACTTTGCTTTTCCTGTGTACAGAAGCTGACGAGCAAAACTGTAGCTAACTTGTGCACATTATACCGATGTCATCTGCTTTAAGTGCCTTGAAGACCTTCCGCGACTCTAAAGATCTCAATTGTACCTTCTATGGAATTAGCAACAGGCTGTGACGGTCAAACATGACAAGGTTAAATATGCTCATGGCCCTAATAGTACGGTCACTTTTTAAAAAAAAGATTTGTTTTATTTTTATTGGAAAGGCGGATATACAGAGAGGAAGATCTTCCATCCGATGATTCACTCCCCAAGTGAGCGCAACTGTCGATGCTATGCTGATCCGAAGCCAGGAGCCTCTTCTGGGTCTCCCACACGGGTGCAGGGTCCCAAAGCTTTGGGCCGTCCTCGACTGCTTTCCTGGGCCACAGGCAGGGAGCTGGATGGGAAGCGGAGCCGCCAGGATTAGAACTGGCGCCCCTATGGGACCCCGGGCGTGCAAGGTGAGGACGTTAACCACTGCGCCACCGTGCCGGGCCCTAGTACGGTCACTTTAACACCGGCATTTGCTGGGACCTGCAGGGATGTGTTTACTTCAGGACTGTCCCCACTTGTTAAAACTAATACTGCCAGTTCATGTGTTATTTTCATAGCTCCATACTCACCATCCCAATTTAGAGTTCCCTACACAGTTGAACCAGTAATCGGACGGGCCTTACCCATGCTCAAGTCATCTACGTTAAGCATGAATCGATGCTGCTTGTTCAGTTAAATACTGCTTATCTTTCGTGTTCTGGTAACGGGCTAACATTTACTTCTTCATGCTGTCCCAACATTTCTGTTCATTCCCACCATTTGTAATTCTTTGGACAATTGTCTTACTTCCCATGTTGCTTGTGAGAATTCGTGCGCATGACCAAACCCCTACTAGAGATGGATCGGGTACCATCTTGTGCAGAAAAGCAATGGCTATGGGACAGGACTGCGCATCCACTGAACTGGGAGTCTGTTCATTTCGGGCCCAGTGAATTGCAAGAACTTGCACCCTTCAGCTTCCACCCCAAATAGGTCTGGCCAGCAGATCAAGAACTCCATGAGGTAAAAAACAAACAAACAAACAAACAAACAAAAACTCCATGAGTTCCACATCAGACGCCATTTTGTACAGTATGGCAAAGGCTTTACACTGCAGGGATAACAGTGAGCTATCATCCTGGGAACTGTGTGAACTGGAATTGGGAGAAACGTTGCACAGACAACCAGACAATGGTGCAACAACAGCGTGGTGGGATCACAGGAGGTGGAGTGCTGAGGCAGGAGGGGCTATGCAGACCTCGGTGGAAATTTAACATAAGAGCCTGGACATGGAGCTTGCTGGAGGGAGTGGCACAAGTAACTGTAAACAAAGAACCGTGTGTCAACTGCAAGTAAACTCTAACTGCAGAGCTGTGGGTGACACAGCTTAGAAACCTGCCTGAAGGAGAAGCTGCTAACTGGAAGTACAATGACCAAGAGCAAAAGAGAAAAAGACACAATGAATATTACTGAAGACTCTCCTGCAAAGGAACAAAGGCCTTTGCCAACCTCAGAGTTCACTGAGGAAGACATCGAGAAAATGGGGGATACAGAATTCAAAACTTACTATAAAGCTTCTTAGCAACAATGAGAAGCATTTAATACAGGAGTTCAAGGAATTTAAGGAACATGTTACATAAGAAATAAATCAAACGAAAGCTTGTATATCAGAAATTAAGAATGCAGTGGACAAGTTAAAAGTAAAGTGGAGAGTCTCTAAAATAGAATGAAGCAAGCAGAAGAAAGAATCTCAGAATTGGAAGATATTTCCTGTCGGCAGGGGGAAACAAACAAAAAGCTGGAAGTAGAGCTGGCTCAAGCCAACAAAAGTATTGAAGAATTAAGAGACGCTATTAAAATTCTAAACATAAAAGTTATGGGAGTCCCAGATGGTGCAGAAAGAAAAATCACGCTTTAAAACTATTCAATGAAATAATAAATAAAAACTTCAATACCCTAGAGGAAGAACTGGGAAACAAGATCCAGGAGGGACACAGAACTCCCAGAGGATTGACCAAAAGCGATCTTCGCAACCCACGATAACCAACCTCTCTTCAACTGAACATAAAGATTCTTAAATGTGCATGTGAAAAAAAAAAAATCAGTTGATACAAAGGAATGGCAATTAAATTCACAGCTGACCTCTCAGAGGAAACTCTACAGGCAAGAAGAGTATATATTCCAGATTCTAAAAGGAAAAAATTGTTAGCCCAGGATAATGTACCCAGAAAAGCTTTCCTTTGTCTTTGAAAATAAAATCCTTCTATAGTTAAAAGAATATGCCTCTTCCAAACCTGCCCTACAAAGGATGCCTAAAGATGGTCTCTCGACAGAGAAGAGGAATAGCGCCCACCAAAACCAAAGGCAAATGAGAAGAACATCCCAGTAAAATAACAAAAGACTAAATCAATGAACAACCCATTGCTAACATGACAGGACCAAATTACCATCCATGCATATTAACCCTGAATGTCAATGTTGATTAGACTCCTTAATATAATAGATTAGACTGAATTAAAAAAAAAAATAGAACACATCTATTCGTTGCCTACGGGAGATACTTTTCAGCAGCACAGATCAGCGGCTTGACGAGTGGCTCTGCGACCGAGGGCAGGGCGGGTGTTTAGCCAGCCCTCCGGCGGCGGGCGGACGAACTGCTTCACTCGGACGCCTTCTCCGGGGGCAGCGACATGCTGACGGACCCGGCCGGGGAGCCCAGAAGCCTCCCGGCCGCTCGCCTCGCGCAGCACCGGGCAGGGACGAGGGCGGAAGGGCCCGCGACGACCCGAGGCTGGACGCGAACCCGGGCGGCGGCGGCGCCAACAGCTTCCAAACGCCGCCGGACCCGCGGGCCTCGGGGCTGTCCGCCGCGCCGCCTGAGCCGCTCCCGCCGGCCGCGCCGCCTGCTCGCAGACCAGTGACCGCCGTGAGCCCCGTGAGCCCGGCCGCGGGCTCCTGCAGCTCCCCGCGCGTCCCCTTCCCGTCCCCGCAGCCGCCTCGTCCCTGTCCCCACACGGCAGCGCGCCGGGCAGGCCCTGGGCACTCGGCGCCGAGGGACGCGAAGGACCCGTCCGCGCCTGCGCCTGCGCAGAGGGCGGGGCGAGCGGGGCGGCGCGCAGCTCGGCTTCCTCCGGCCGCGGCGTGCTGCAGGGCGGCCTGTGCGCGTCCTCCGGCCGCTGACCATGTTCGTGCCCTGTGGGGACGCGGACACCGACCTGTCGGGCTTCACCCTGCTCATGGTGAGTCTGGGCCCGCGCCAGGGAAGCCGGCGTCCCGGGGCCCCGAGCGGTCGCCAGCTCGGCTTAGGTTTGCACCGAGCTTCGGGAGACGAGATCGCTTGCTTTTGTGTTAAGTTTTCAGCTGTTGAAGGTAATCGGGGAGTTGGCTAGAGGCGACGGGCCGAGGAGAACCCCGTGGGCGCTGGACCCACATGCTTCCTGGGGCACGCCTTGCAGCCTTTGTTGCCTGCAAAAAGCACGTTAGTGGTTCCAGACACTTGCAATATACGTTGTTCAAGGCATCCTTAAGTTTCACACGAGGAAGAGTTATTCCATCTAGTTTTAGAGTCAGTCCTCAGCTTTGTCCATAACTGAGGTTGGAGTGATAAAAATGACTTCTAACAGCCAAAAGCACAGTTTTAGCCACGTTGGGGTTGCCCGGAGTCATTCGTTTAAATATGCATGAGCTTAAATGCAGGTAATAAGACTAGGTTCCTGTCCGCAGTGAGTTTACAGTCTCTAGAAGCCCATGTAAGAGAAATAAAAGTTTCAAGTTTACAAAGCACAAGGAAAGGGCCCGAGTCGTAGCAGAGGAAGGCTGGGGGCCTGTAGGAGAGTCATGGGGTCGTGGGTGTGATACGGGGTGGGGGTGCCCAGACAGTTGCCTACACCAGGCACAGCTGTGAGCCTCCTGGGGCAGGGTAGGATTTTGGCTTGACACATGGAAGGAGGAAAAGCCGAAGGTGCTGTGGGGGATGACGGAAGGTGAAGGGAGACAAACCTGGCGTTAGAAACAATCAGAGTGTACATGAGAGAGAGGTCATCCAGCCAGTGACCCCCTGCCCACCTGTCCACAATGGCCAGGGCTGAGCCGGGCTGAGCCACGAGCCTGGGACTCCGTTTCCCAAGGGGATGGTGGGAGTCCACGCACACGGGCTGCCTGCTGCTGCTTTCCCAGGCGCTTTAGCAGGGAGCTGGATGAGAAGTGGAGCATCCACAGCTCCAGCCAGCCCTGACATAGGATGCCACTGTTGCATGCGGCAGCTGAACCTGCTGCGTCGCTGTGGTGACCCCATGAATATCACATGCGCAAATCTAAGAAAGAGAGGAGGGAGTGGCCATCTGTCCAGGTAGCCAAGAGTTTGCCCTGCAAGTATCTGTTTGGAGTTAGCAGTGTGCAAGTAAATGGTGGTCCCAGGACAAAGGTTACCATGGGAGAAGCTAAGTTGGAAACCATGTTTGTGCCAATCTCTATTGATCTTCCAGGCCACAAGCACGGAGCTGGATGGGAAGTGGGGCTGACAGGACACGAACCGGTGCCCATATGGGATCCTGGCGCATGCAAGCCACTAGGCTACCGCACCAGGCCCTTTTAAAATTTTTTATTTTATTATTTATTTTTATTAGATATATAGATAGGAGGAGAGACAGAGAGGAAGAGTGACCTTTCTTTAATCAATCAGGGACAGGACTGCCCGTGCTGCGGTGTGCAGTAGGCTCCAGTCTGTCCAGGTTCTGTGGTTGGGTAGTTGCCTTTACCTTGCTCTGGGCCTTTGGTTCCTTTGAAGCATCTCAAAGTGGAATCTAGTGGCTCGTCCTGGATTTCGTGGCTTAGTCTGTAAGAAGGAGTTGATGTGTAATTATTAACATGGAGAAGGAGGAATTGCAAGCTGAATGAGAGAGACCAGGGCTGGACCGTGAGTGTGTCAAAGGCGTCAGGCACCGGGGCTCAGTTTGAATACTTCAGAGGGAGAATCAGTGAGGGCCATTCACGCATTCGGTGTGGGCGACAAGCAAAAGGGGAGGAGTTTCCTGGTTCAGTAAGTGACGAGTTTAGAGACAAATTCGGACAAAAGTGTGTTGTTAGATTTGTGCATGTTGAGTGTGGGCGGCCAGCGACATGACCAGGCGGAGCTGGGCATGAGGCTCTGGCGCCTCACGTGAACGAGGGAGATTGTGCAGTTTGTCTATTTGAAGTCGTGGGTTTGTGTGTGTTTAGTGTGTCCGGATAAGGTCATGCCAACACCGGAAGTGGGTATAGAAGAAAGCTCTAACAGCCAGTGGAAACACACGGGTGCTGTAGTCCGTCTGTGCCAGCCCTGCCCGCGCTGCCCCACCTGCAGCGTTTCCCCAGGCCCTGAGTGACTTTCCTTTTGTGTGTCTTTAGTGTGGTCAGCCTGCTTAGGATTGCACGTAGCCACATACACACTCAGGCCGTGTTTCTCCAAGGCACTTAGCATTGTATAATTTACTGTTGATTTTGCTTATTTCAAGTAACCGTTCCCTCACTGGAATGGAAGCTCTGGGAGGACCTGTCCAGCCAACGGGGCTGGTTGGTCTTGCTGCGTCCTCAGTGTGTGATGACCGGCCCACTATCGGTGTTCAGTATTAGTTGAATGAGTTGAGGTGGAGGAGGCCCCAGCGGGTGCGCTAGGTGTGGCTGGTGTGAGAGCCAGTGTCCAAGGTGACGCATCGGGACAGGAGCGTGCAGTGCTGTGTGGCGTTTCCCGTCTTCTGTCGCTTCTAAAAGTGCTAGGAGTGTTGGTGACTCACGGAACATGTCTCTTGATTTCAGCCAGCAGTCTCTGTTGGAAATGTTGGCCAGCTGGCTACGGATCTGATCATTTCTACCCTGAATATGTGTAAAATCGGTTACTTCTATACTGATTGTCTTGTGCCGATGGTCGGAAACAATCCATACGCCACTGCGGAAGAGAACGCAGCAGAACTCAGCACCAATGCTGAAGGTGAGTGAGACCTCGCAGTGTTTTCCCTGCCACAAGGTCGAGTTGTTCTGAATTAGGAATAAATTATGGATACTGGTTTGTGGTGTGCCAGCTTTGTGCAGAATTCACAACCCAGTCTCACTGTCGTATTTTGAATCCTGGTGTGAGTTTTCGGCTTTCTCTGAATGTGACAACTCCTAAGAGATCTGTGAATATAAACTATCTTTGGGTTGAATTTGAGCTTTCCATTTTCTTTCAGTACGGTTCTTTTACCAACGTGTGTCTTTTATCCTCAGCTTTATTTTCTTTGCTTGCTTGTGTATATAACGATCCCCAATACTACAGAAAGGAGGAAATATGGGAGATCAGCAAAGAAACATGAGTCATTAAAAAAAAGATTTATTTATTTTTATTTGAAAGGCAGATTTTACTGAAAGAAGGAAAGAGAAAGAGAGAGAGAGAGGTCTTTCATGTGCTGGTTCACCCTTCCCCCCCCCACATGGCCGCAACAGCCAGAGCTGAGTTGATCTGAAGCCGGGAGCCAGGAGCTTCTTCTGGGTCTCCCACTCAGGTGCAGGGACCTAAGTCTTTGGGCTGTCATCTGCTGCTTTCCCAGGCCGTTAGCAGGGAGCTGGGGTGAAAGTGGAGCACTCGGGACAGGAACCATTGACCAGTTGGGATGCTGGCGTCACAGGTGGTGTTTTTACCCGCTACACCACAATGTTGACCCTGGATACAGTTCTTTACTTCTTTTATTTTATTATTATTATTTTTTTTTGACAGACAACAGACGTACATGCAGAAAGAAACAGCTCCCATCTGCTGGGTTATGTGCTAAGTGCCCACAGTGGCAAGGGCCGAAGCCAGAGGCCAGAATCTCAATCCCGGTCTCCCTCGTGTTTGCTCAGCCTAGGGTTATTTGTAGCATCGTGGCCCGATCCTGTGTCCCTGGGACTCCGTCTGTCCTTGGTTCGTAGGGAGCTTCCCGTTCTCCGCCTCACCCATTTCTGCACGAGCCCCTTGAGCTCACGGAAACTGTAGCTCCTTCTCCTAGGAAGCGTGCACACACAGGCAAAGCAGTGATTGCACGTTACCTCGGCTCTTGCAAAAAAACGACAACAGAACACAAATGTCCTGACATCAGGAGTATGTGACAGACATTCTCCTACATTTTTATTATTTCTTCGATTAACCCCAACGAAGTCTGGTTTTCTGAAGGGAAGTAGGCAGAACATCTGCAGAAAACATTTAGCTTTTATTTGTCATGACCTCAGAAATTTCCAGGGGGAACTCTCATTTTTTTATCATTAAAGTCATAAAGATTTTTTTTTTTTTTTTTTGGCTATTTTCGCACTGTTAACTTCTTAGAAATCAGTCTCTTCTATGTAATAAAGTCTACTGGCACGTGTAAGTTATTTTAAAAATGTTAGCCAATCGATTCAGTGTGTGTGTTCTGTGTTTTGATTGCCCTTGAATGCAGTGCTTGTTAAATTATCGTTTAGGCTGCATAGCTCTTTGATTTTGACTAATGTACGATTCCATTTTCTTCCTGTCTGTGTAGTATATTCTTTGCGTTCGAAGAAGCTAGTGGTTCTTCAGTTACGATCCGTTTTTATTAAGGTTAGTCTGCTCTATTTGCCTTTGTAAGCAAAGTCAAAAGTAATGGGAAAATGGAAAGTCAGTATCATTGGGAATTAAGGTTTTAAAGTAATTTCCACTGCTTTTAGTGTATGTACAGCTAGGAAAAGTTATTTCTAGAGAAACATCATCTTAAAATAGCTTAAATATGTTGCCATTTATAATTTTATAGAAAGGAATTGGGACTTTTAGCTTGAGTCTTATCTGAGTTCTAAAGATTTCTTTGGAGAGGTAAAGTGATAAAAATCTTCCATACTCCAGTTCACTCCCCACATGGCCACAGCAGTGAGGTCTGGACCAGGTCCAATGCCAGGAGCCTGGCACTCAGTGTGTGTCTGCCACATGAATGGCAGGGACCTGAATATATGGGTCATCTTCCGCTGCCTCCCGAAGCACCTTAGCAGGGAGCTGGACTGGAAGCAGAGCAACCAGAACTTTTTTTTTTTTTTTGTTAATATAACCAGAAAAAAACACTTCTTATCGAATTGGAATGTAGAAGTCAAACTTTGAGCAAGATTAGCAAAACACTCAACCGTACAGTTCACAGGACAGGATAGCACAGGTTTAGACAGTTGGAGTTAAGAAGTACGGACAAGAAGGCAGGACCAGCAGCTGTCACGGAGGAGCAGCACTCAAGCACCCAAGAGATGCTGTCCCTGGCTTAGAAGACTGATTTGAACTTGAAGGAATCACAGTGGAATGCCATTCCCACTCGGCAGTTCCCCCCGAGACCTGTTCATCTCAAAACAAGAGCGCATGCAAGTCAGCAGTACCGAGTCTTGGAAGACTAGCCAAGTCCTTCCACACTTGGGGCTTACATGGAGACTGAATGTTTTTTTGTAAACGCCTGGCATCAGAAGTGTTACAGATTTTTTTCTTTTTACTTATTTTTATTGGAAAGGCAGGTATACAAAGAAAAGGAGATACAGAAAGATCTTCCATCCACTGGTTCACTCCCCAAGTGGCTGCGATGGCCAGGAGCCAGGAACTTCTTCTAGGTCTCCCATATGGGTACAGGGTCCCAAAGCTTTGGGCTGTCCTTGACTGCTTTCCCAGGGCACAAGCAGGGAGCTGGATGGGAAGTGGGGCCGCCAGGATATAAACCGGTGCCCACATGGGATCCTGGTGTGTGAAGGGCAAGGATTTTGGCCACTAAGCTACTGTGCTGGGCCCAAAGCTGAATTAGTCGATTTCTTTTCTTTTCTCTGAATTCAAAAGAAAACAGTTTTTCATGTAAGATTTTTTTTTTGTCTGTCTTGATAATAAGGTCTAAGATGAAGAAAGGAAAGGTGTTATACAAAGAATTAGACACAAGCTTTAAGGACATTCTTCAAGGTGGGGCTGCTCCTTTGAATAATTTTAATCAGAAGTGTTTTATATAAAGCATTAGTGTACTTCATGAAATAGCCTAAGTATTACCGGAGGAGGAATTCATATCCGTGTCCTGCAAGAGCTTTCACTTTCTGCGTTCACTCTTTGAAATGCTTTCCCATGTCTCTCACATTCACAGTGCAGGATGCACACGCACATGCACAGCTACAAGATCACATTGAGGTGTTCCCTGAAGCATGACGTTGATTCTGGCCTGGGTTATGCAGTTTGTTACAAGAGAGCCGAGATACGGAGTGGAGAAACAATTTGAATTCTATAGATCTAGGAAGCCGATTTTATTTTCACAGCTCATGTTGTTGCTTGCTAATATCTGGGTGTACACATTTCTTATCTAGAAACCAGGCTGGAGCTGTTGCGTGCAAAGGAATGATGACTCGTGACCAGCTCACATTCTTACGCTAAGAGAATTATCTCTTACTGGCTCTACTTTTGATACCAGGTAGACCAGGGAGTTACTAAAAATGGAGGCTAGAAAGCCATTCCTGAAAACCTTACGAACATGGCTGCAGGAAAAGTGGCGGGGGCGTGATACCTGGAGAACAAAGACAAGTCAGGAAGTGAATTTCCCTGGGTTTCCTCCACTGTTGTAAAAGAGGCGAGTGGCTGGCACAGATGTGAATCATGTCTCCCAAATCATGCAGTACCAGTGCAGTGATGCGCAGTTCAAGGATCACGCATTTCCTGACCTGTTACACTTTCAGGATGAGGCTAGCGTCAAGGCCCTGTTTAGATGTAGGAGAGAGGGAATGAATGTGTTATTTCTTCCAGGTGAGCTGCAGGGACTCATGTACTTGGCTGTCTTCTGCTGATTCCCCACATGCATTAGCGGGGAGCTGGATTGGACATGGAGTGGTTCACTCCACGGCTGCCATGGCCATGGCTGAGCTAGACTAAAACTAGGAGCTTTTTTCCAATCCCCTACGAACGCACGGGGGCCCAAGTACTTGGTCCATCTTGTGCTGCTTCCACAGGCACATTAGCAGGTACCTGGATTGGAAATGGAGCCCCTAGGAATCAAACTAGCACCCTAATGGAATGCCAGCATCGTGTACAACTCCTCAACTCGCTGTGCCACAACACTGGCTCCAATATTGATTTCCTTAACAGCGTATACAAAGAGAATCCACAGAATAGGATTTCTCTCAAAAATTTTGTAAGTACATACACACACACATACGCACACATACGGACACGCAGTTTCCTTCTGCCAAATAGTCCAAAAGGCGGCGAGTGACGTCAGGAGACTTCAGTCTACATGTTTTGAGATTAACACCATTGACTGCACTCAAGAAAATGAGTATTTAATGAAGTATTTAGGAATATTACCCAACATCCTCAAACTTCCCACTTTATCCCTGAAATACCCTTTAATTCTGGATCCAGACCAGGTTTGCATGATGCATTGGCTGTTACGGTGTTTTAGTTTGGCATCTTTCTCTTCTACCTTTGTGCAATCAAGATTGGATACTTGGGGTCTGGAGCAACAGCTCCACCTCCAAGTGCCAGAATCCCCTGTGGGTACCGGTTCATGTCCTGGCTGCTCCATTTGCCACCCAGCATCCCCACGGGAGACCCAGAAAAAGCTGCTGGTTCCTGGCTTCGGATCAGCTCAGCTTCAGCCGTTGCAGCTATTCGAGGTTAAAGATCTTTCTCTCTTTAATCTGCCTTTCCAATATAAATAAATAAATAAGATTGAATATTTGGCTTTCCGCATTCATTCTTCTGATTCCTCATGATCAAGTCTAGGTCAGAAATTTTTTGCAAGAACAACTTATAGATGGTTATGTGCTGGTTATTAAGTATCACTAAATTACTTGGAATGACATTTAAAACCCGGCAGCGTGGCCTAGCAGCTAACGTCCTCGCCTTGAACGCCCCGGGATCACATATGGGCGCCAGTTCTAATCCCAGCAGCTCCACTTCCCATCCAGCTCCCTGCTTGTGGCCTGGGAAAGCAGTCGAGGACGGCCCAAAGCTTTGGGACCCTGCACCCGTGTGGGAGACCTGAAAGAGGCTCCTGGCTTTGGATTGGCACAGCACAGGCCATTGCGCTCACTTGAGGAGTGAATCATCAGACGGAAGATCTTCTTCTCTGTCTCTCCTCCTCTCTGTATATCTGACTTTCCAATAAATAAATAAATAAATAAATAAATCTGTAAAAAAAAAAAATCTAAATCCCTCATAATTTATTCCAGAAACGTAACAATATAAAAACATCGATGTTCATCTCTTTCGATCTTTAGTTTATGATGAGCAAGAAGATCCGAAATACTGATATTTTAGTGAATATAAGCTACATGTCCTATCACATAGAGTTGATACAATACGGTGTAGAATATTCTTATACTGTAAGATCCAACTTTTGTATTCTCTTGTTCTCTCAATTGCGTACCAAGTACAAATCCGTGTCATTCTGTGAGAAGCTGCTCGGCTGGGTGCGAAGTAGCGGCTGTGCCCGAGTGATTGTCCTCTCCAGCAGCCATTCCTACCAGCGTAATGATAAGCAGCTGTGTGGGTAGGTGCTTGCCTTTCTGGTGGGGGTCCTGTGAGCCTTTCCCTGTTGAAAAGTTTTAAAAGCTGTGAATTACCTTGTAGCTGTTGACTAAGAGGAAGACGTGCGAGGGCCGAGGTGCAGGGGGTCAGTAACCGGGTGGATCGTTTTAGTTTTCATGAAGTTGGTACATGGAAGCTCAAGAAAGGCTTTGGTATCGAATTTGGGAGCCAGGCTTTGGTGTTGGCTGTCATGTGTGGCAATCACAGGGCTCGCTGATAATGAGAAAGGATGTATTGGTTGGTATAACCTGGCTCGATTGAATCAGCACCAATTCCATACACCATTTGTATTTGTAGAAATCTCGTTGTCTTTAAGTGTACACATCCAGGGCCTGTCAGAGTGAAATCTTAAATACTGGACAAGGTGTCCCAGGAATAGAAACAGGAACTATTTTATGACGACATTCGTGCAATAAAATATCACATAGTAGACTTGTATGGTTAACTTTTAGTACATTTACATCTTTCATACGCCTGAAAATTAGGGAGGAGAGAACCCATAAGCCAAGAGTTACCTTTTGTAACTGGGGCCAGTTTCCGGCGAGCTTCTGGTAGATGACAGGCTGTGGGGAATAGGTGTGTCTTCATAGTGGCCTCTCTTCATGCTCGTTCCTAAGTGTGTAATGAGCAGGTGAGCATTTTCTGCAGAAGTGGCTCTTCCGTGGCTTCCTGAGGTTGTAGTTTGCCTTGTGCAAGCAAGAAAGTGGAAGCCAAGATCTTTTCAACTCAGAGCACTGATGTTTTTCTTATTGTTCATGTTTGTGTTTTGAAAAAGTTCATCATATCATTGTTTCCAGCACTCCCTTCCGGTACCTGCTTACACCTTCCATGCCCAAAACTGTGCAGAATAAAATGAACAGCCTCAACTGGAAAGAAATGGAAAGAAGCCCATGCATTCCTGAAATAGAAGATTCTGATCTTTGTGTCCGTGTTCCAGGAGGAGGCATCACGAAGTTACTGTATGATGAAAGGTGAGTTTGTTTTCCATCTTACGTAAAAATGAATTTCAGATAACCACAGGAACATATTCATTACCCAGTTAGATCTTAAAACATATTTATTAAGCATGTAACATTCAGGGGAAAGATTCATATTTAGTTATTGAATAATTGATTCCTGGAAAACTAAATTTATTGCCTTATTATGCGTGATATTTAAAAAATCTTGCTAAATAGTCTGGACAGCCTCTCAAAGCACACATTTTTCAGTTGTAAAATATACAAAATTAACCATTTATCTGTAAAATTTGTCTATTTTATTGTAAAGGCAGGTTTACAGAGAGGAGAGACAAAAAGATCTTCCAGCTAGCTGCTGGTTCACTCCCCACAGAGGACCACAGTAACCAGGACATCTTCTGGGTCTCCTATGCAGACACAGGGTCCCAAGGCTTTGGGCCGTCCTCGACTGCTTTCCCAGGCCACAGCAGGGAGTTGGATGGGAAGCGGGGCTGCCGGGACACAAACTGATGCCCATATTGGATGCCCGCTTGTTGGTGAAAGGTCAATCGATTGATCTATCATGCCACCCCTTTTCCTTTCCCCACCCATTTAACCTTTTTTTTTTTTTTAATTATTGATAACTGATATCAGTTTAGTTTTGTTTAAAATGACAACAACTTCATCTTAGATTCTACTTTGCCCCTGGAGAAACCCTCCCAGAATTGACAGATTTCTTTATAATCTTCTTTTTTTTCATGATCCATTTCCTTAGGCTCAGGGGTTTACTCTTTCGCCCTCCCCCTTCTCTGTTCCACCCCACCGTTTCCCCCTATACTGTGATGAAAGTATAGTTCAACGACAGTCACAAGGCCATCCTTCTTCTATCTAAACATATCATCGCCATTTTAGTTATAGACAGTGGTAGAAAGTCCACGTTTTAAAAAAAAGATTTAATTATTTACTTACTTGTTTTGAAAGTCGACATTAGAGATCTTCCATCTGCCAGTTCATTCTCCATATGGCAGCAATGGCCAGTGCTGGCCATGCCAAACCCGGGAACTTCTGGGTTTTCCACATGGGTGGCAGGAGCCCAGACAGTTGGGCCATGTTCCATTACTTTTCTCTGCACTAGCAGGGAGTTGGATCAGAAGTGGAACAGCCAGGACACAAACCAGCACCCATATAGGGTCCTGGTATTCACACTACGTGTGCCACAAAGTCATGGCATCGAGTACACCCATTCACTTCTTACACATCTATTATTGATACCCACTCTCAGGACTTTGCTATCATCCTAAATAGAAACAGCGGTAGCATTAAGTAATTTTATTTCTGTCAATTAGTAGTAATGTCCTTTCAGTTCTGATTTTAGTAGTCTGATGCTACTTTTTTAAATCAATTTTTAGACAAAGATTGTCAATTTTCTTGATCTTTTCAAGGACTTAAGATTTTTGTTGTTTGGTTTTCCCTAATTTTCTTTTAAAGATTGACTGATTTTTACTTGAAAGGCAAAATTACCCAGAGAGGAGAGATGAGAGATCTTTCATCCACTGGTTCACCCCCAAGATGGTCCCACAGCTGTAGCTGCGGTGGTCTGAAACCAGGAGGCTGGAGTTTCTTCTAGGTCTCTCACCGCGGTGCAGGGAGCTGGCTCTGAAGTGGGGCTTCTGCAATCCAGCACAAGCCCATATGGGATACTGGCCTCTCAGGCAAAGGCTTAACCTGGTGTGCCTTGGAGTTGAGCCTCTGAGAATTTTAAGATATATTACTTATGTACCTGGCATGATAGCTCAGTGGCTAAATCCTTGCCTTTCTCACACCAGGATCCCAGAAAAGCATAGGTTCGTGTCCCAGCTGCTCCACTTCCCATCTAGCTCCATGTGTTAGCTCCCTGGGAAGGCAATATAGGATGGTCCAAAGCTTTGGGACCCTGCACCCATGTGGGAGACCCGGGAGAGGTTCAATACTCCTGGTCCTGATCGCAGGTCGGCTCAGCTCCAGCTGTTGTGGCCACTTGGGAGTGAATCACGAGAAGAAAGTCTGTCTGTCCCTCTGCCTGTAAATCTGCCTTTTCAGTAAAAATAAATACATCTTTTAAAAACTATATATGACTTATTTATTTGACATCCTGACACAGAGAGATCTTCCTAAACAGCCACAATGGCCAGAGCTGGTCTAGCATAAAACTGGGAGCCGGGAGTTCTGTCCTGGTTTTCCCATATAGTTCTCTCCACTTGGCCATCATTTGCTGCCCTCCTGTGGCCAAACCTGATGCTGGTTTCATGCCATAATGACAGCCCTCACCTCAGAAAATTCTGTAATTGCTTCCTTGGCTCTTTTCCCTCACCCGTCACCCCATTCATGTTTTTACTCCTTTTTCTGTCTACTGTTTACACATATGGAGAATATCACTTGAGCCATTCCTTCCCCGGAAGCTGGAGCTCTGGCTGCCTCGTTGCCTTCAGGACCTGCCCTGGGCATCGCTGGCTGTCAATCATTTTGTTGCTTCCCTTCATTCGTATCATGTCTTGCCTAGATTGCTGTTTTGGGATTACAAAATACTGCAGATAGTGAGGCTTAACCAACAGAAGTGTGTTGTCTCACAGTTTTGGAGGCTGGAAATGTGAGACCCCAGACTCAGGGCAGTGGGGCTCTCTTCCTGACTCATAGATGGCTGCTCTGTCCTGCAGTGTGTCCTCACGGAGCACACTTTGTCTCACTTGGCCACAGTCTTACTAGGTGAGCACCCCCTCTTAGATGTTTTTTTCTGCTTTATTTACGGGGACAGGTGTTTGGTGCATCCCTTATCAGGGTGCCCGATTGGCGTCTGGTTGGTCCTCTACCACCAGTTCTGCCTCTCGTTGATGGATACCCCAGGAGATAGCAGGTCGTGGATCAAATACTTGGGTCTCTGGCACCCACATCAAAGACTTAGATTGTATTCCAGGTTCGTGGCTTTGACCCAGCTCAGCCATGACCATTGTGGGCCTTGGGGGTGTGACCCACCAGCAGGAAGAGCTCCCTTTTTATCTGTCTGTCTCCCACCATATCTCACTACCTTCCAAATGAAGATTAAACTTCACTTACCTGCTGAAGAGTCTGTCTCCAAATACAGTCAAGTTGTGACATTTTTGAAGACATAAACCATAGCAGCTACTGTCAGGCTCTCTGGTTTGGCTGTCCTGCCTCCTCCGTGCGACTCCCTGATCCGTCCTGGCACTGAAGCTGGAAATGGCCAGGAGTCCCTGACTGAAAGCCCTTGGCAGTTTCCTCTGCTCTCTGCAGTGTCTGGCTCCTACGCCTTCCCAGTGCTGCACAAGGCCCCGGCACCGCACATCTCCCTGCCCAGCTCATTCCTCCTCCTCTGTGCCCCTGGACGTCAGCTTGCTAGCAGAAGCTCTTTCTTCCCTGCTTTTGCTCCCTCTGCCCTTCTCTTTACTGTCCTTTATTTCTGAGAGTTAACCTCTGGTTCCTCTGGCTTCGCCTCCGCTCTGTCTGTGCTTGTTCAAGCTGCTACATGAGAATTTACTACTGTCTTTGTGCTCCCACTGGCCTCTTCTGCAAAAGGATGCTCTTGTAAAGATTGCTCTGTCTGAAAGAGCGATGGAGAAGGGGATCTTCCCTTCTGCTGTTTACTTTCTGAATGATTGCAGGAGCCAGGACTGGATCAGGCTAAAGCCGGAAGCTGGAGACTCCATCATAATCTCCCACACGGGTGACAGGACCTAAGCACCTGGACCTTCTTCTGCTGCGTTCTCAGGCTCTCTGGGAAGGAGTCTGGAAAGTGGGGTAGCTAGGATTCAAACAAGCACCCAGATGCGCTGCTGGTGTTCCAAGCTGCAGCTTAACACACTGCACCACAGCACTGGCCATACCTCAAAACTTTTTTTTTCTTGTTTTTGCACTTTTAATATTCTAGGCTTTTGGTTCTGGCAGAGTAACTCATGTAGACATATCCTGCTGTCACTAAAATAAACTAGAAATTTGGGGCCAACATGGCCCCAAAGTAGGGCTAATCCTCTGCCTTTGATACAAGCAGCTCCTATGGGCACTGGTTGCTATTCCAATTGTTCCCCTTCCAATCCAGCTCCCTGCTAATATGCCTGGGATGAGAAAGAAAAAGAGGATGGCTCAAGCCCTTGGGTGCCTGCATCTACATGGGAGATCTGGAAGAAGCTCTTAAGTTTTAGACCAGCCCAGCTCTGACCTCTGGGAGGCCGTTGGAGGAGTGAATGAGCAGATGGAAGATCTTTCTATTTCTCCTTCTTTCTCTAACTCATTGAAGTAAAAAATATATATATAAATGCATATTAAAAAAGAAAAAAAAAGCAGGAATTTGGTAGCTGTTTTCTAGCCGTTGAGTATAGTCGCTGCACAGCTATCATCTTTGAGAAAAGGCAAGTGGTAGAAGTCCTGTGGTTTCCCCAGCTCCTTGCTTAGAGCTGCTGTAGCACGAGGAAGCTGAGCTCAGCAAAGTGGCCTGCTCATGAGGGAGGAGTCAGACTGGGAGGCCGGGGGGCTGGCAGTGGGGCAGAGAGGAGCGGGGCGCACGTGCGGGGCCAGGGACAGGATGGCGTCTGGATGCCTGTAAATTTGCCCAGAACCTGAGCTGTCACAAACAGGAAATTTTTAAAAAGCTGGACATACTCGGACAAAACACTTAGAAAATGCAGAGTAATTTAAAGAAACAATATTTCGAGTGCTCCATTCTGTCATCCAAAAGTAACGGCCACTTTTAATCTTCTGGCCTGTTTTTCTCCTCCAAAGTCCGTATAGTTGAATTGAATGAAATTAGCTGCCAGAGAATATAATTCGAATTCATTCTTTTCAAAGAATGATTCTCACACAATTTAAATTTTCTAAAAGAAACCCTTAGCTCATCTATGATCATTGGTTGCAGTAAAAATGTTTTGAAATTGAAAAAGATTAACAGTCCAAGTCAGATTGAGATCATAGATAAGCCAGGCTGTTATTTTTTTGTCTTCTTGCTACAGTGCTTCTGAAAATCAGTGTCTTCTAAAATAGATTTCAGATGCATCACAGCAGACCGCATAGAGTTGTTGTTGTGGCACAGTGGGTTAAGCCATGGCCTGATACACCAGAATCTCATATGAGCAAAGGTTCAAATCCCAGCTGCTACTCTTCAGTCCATCTCCCTTAGTGCACCTGGGATATTAGCAGCTGATGGTTCTCATGCTTGGGCGCCTTTGTGGGAGACTTGGGTGAAATTCCTGGCTTCTGGCTCCAGTCTGGTGCAGTCCCATCCATTAGCAGCCACGTAGGGAGTAATCAAGTGGTTGGGGGCCTGGCGTGATAGCCTACCAGCTAAAGTCCTTGCCTTGAACATGCCAGAATCCCATAAGTACACTGGTTCTAATCTTGGTGGCCACACTTCCCATCCAGCTCCCTGCTTGTGGCCTGGGAGAGCAGTCAAAGACGGCCCAAAGCCTTGGGACCCTGCACCCGCATAAGAGACCTGGAAGAGGCTCCAGGCTCCTGGCTTCAGATTGGCTCAGCACCGGCCGTTGTGGCCACCTGGAGAGTGAACCAGCAGACAGAAGATCTTCCTTTGTTTCTCTCCTCCTCTCTGTATATTTGCCTTTCTGATAAAAATAAAATAAATCTTAACAACAAAAAAAAAACCCACAAAAAAGTGGTTGGAAGATCTCTGTTTGTAAATTTTATGAAAAGAATGGACCTCTCGTGGGACAGAAAGATGCTTTTCAGGCGTCTCTGGGGTGAGGCACAGGCCATTAGATGACTCCTGATCCTGTCCCCACAGGCAGAACGGTACCAAGTAGATGACGGGAAATAAATGAATAATCTTAGGATGTGGCATCTCCCCCTTGCCCAAAACCTCCAAGATCAGCTGTCTGTGCACACACACACGAATCAGCATCTTCTACCGGTGGAAGGATGCTAAGTTGCTGTTTTTATTAACCTTTGTAGCTGTTCCAGAGATATCCAGATGGCAGTTCTGCTGAAATTTGTCTCAGAAGGGGACAATATCCCAGATGCGTTGGGTCTGGTTGAGTATCTTAATGAGTGGCTTCAGATCATCAAACCTCGTGTAAGTTTTCTGTAGCGTAAAATTTCATTTCCCTGGTGATGTTTTCATCATTTGCATAAATAAATAAACCAAGTAAGTGAAAGTTTTATATTAATCCTAGACATCATTACACAGAGTTTAATTTAAGCTGGATTCTTGAAAATAAGATGGTTGGCATATTATTCATAATTGTTCCATTAAGGCTGGTTTTCTGAGAAATAACAATTCGAAGTTCTTCAGTGTACTTACTGTTCATTTTACATTTTTATATCAGACATATTCTTCTAAGAATAAGCAAGTCTTCTTTAGATTGCAAGGTGATTTTTTTTGATATTCCCGTGTGAGCAGTGCAGCAGCCGTTGCCTGTGTGTTGTAATTAAGGTATTTCTGTGATTAAGGTGTAATGAAATGAGTCACCCATGAGTCAGAGTTAACTTTCAGGTGTGGCAGAAGCACCTTCAGACTCATCGCGCGGGTAACTGTCCTTTCAGCTTGTACAAACCCAGGAGAATCTGACACGGATCACACCGATTCTGCCTCAAACCCCTGTTCCTCATGACTTCGGTTTTGTTTCATAGACTCCCTCTGTAACCTCTCTGCAGTATTTTTATGATTTGGAACTAAAGTTATGCATAGGTGACGTGAAGACATGCAAGCCTGTTGGGCTCCGTCTTCCTTTACTTTGGAACCTGGCTGCCTCTCAGGGCGCCCTCTGGGAGAGCTGTGGGACCCGTGGGTGCTAAAGCAGGTCGGCTGGTGAGGCTGCAGGGCTGACAACGCTTTGTGTTCCAGTTACAGGGTGATGACACCACAGCCAGCCCCTTGCCGTGGAAAATACCAAGTTCTTGGAGATTACTCTTCGGCAGTGGTCTTCCCCCTGCGCTTTTCTGATCTGGTTTTTTGGTTTTATACCTTGTATCCCTGGACGCTGATTATCAAGACAACTGCTCAGCATTCAATACAAAAATCTGTATTACTGAGAATGGATTAGGCAACGTTTACTTTTCATAAAAATCTTCTCAGAAAAAATATTAACCAAGGTCTTTTGCCATGATTTTCCTCAGCTATACCAAATGTAAATTTTGTACAATAAAATTCTCTTTCCTAAGTAATTTTGTCTGAGCAGTGTCTCTTAAGTTAGGTAGTTTCCTATTTCTGCTGTAATAGATTACCACAATTGTGGAGCTTAAGATGGTGCCATTTATTTTTACTTGCAGTTCTGCAAGTCAGAAACCCAAATTGAGTCCTCTTGGCCTAAAAGAAGGGTGCTAGCCGAGCTCTGTTCCTTCTGGGGGCCTGCTGTCCACTCAGACAAGCTGTCCTTGCACTTCCGTGCATCACCACCCTGGACAGGATGACTGCCCCACCTGAGAAGAATCCTAGTGTAGAGGAAGTGTCAGGAGCAGGTGTGACAGCATAGCAGTTAAGCCCACCATGGGAGGCACTGGTGGGGCTGGGTCAAGCTGAACCAGGAGCGAAGAACTCTTCCTGGGTCTCTGCGGGCGCCAGGGCCTCAAGTACTTACATCATCGTCTGCTGCCTCCCAGGGTACCACATACATAGGAGGTTGGACCGGAACAGTCGGGACACTCCAGGATGGGACTCCAGTCCAAGCAGCGACAGGACTTGGTGCATTGTGACGCCCCATCCCCCAGCTGCTGTTTACGCATGATCTCTGTACCTGTGATTCAGCTGTGTTGCTGCATGCCTTGGTTTTCTCATGTGTAAACCAGAGGAGAATTGGGGCTCAGTTTATCAGAAAGGCATAGCAATGCTGTATGTGCCCAACATCGGAGCACGCAATACAGGAAACAAACTGTCATGAAACTGATGGAGAAATTAATGTTACATGGCAGAAGATTTAGCTATCTGACTTCCAAAATGGACAGAACAAGTACATAAATACAAATATACACATGTCTAGTCTATGTACAGATACAAGTAGAAAAACTGAAAACTGACAAGCATGTAGGAATCGAACAACACAATCTCAAAACAACCAATGTGTCAGAGCCACAAGAGATTAGAAAATGTTTCAGAAAGACTTTTTTTTCTAATATTTGTTTTATTTTGATTGGAAAGTCAGACATACAGAGAGGAGGAGAGATAGAAAGGAAGATCTGTCTGATGGTTCACTCCCCAAGTGAGCGCAACGGCCGGAGCTGCTGCGATCCGAAGCCGGAAACCTGGAGCTTCTTCCAGGTCTCCCATGCGGGTGCAAAGGTCCCAAGGCTTTTGGTTGTCCTTGACTGCTTTCCCAGGCTACAAGCAGGGAGCTGGATGGGAAGTGGGGCCACCAGGATTAGAACCGGTGCCCATATAGGATCCCGACATGTGCAAGGTGAGGACTTTAGCTGGTAAGCTATCACGCTGGGCTCTCTGAAAGATTTAATAATAATTTTATGGAGTGCAACAGGAATACTAAGTATAAATGCCCACATTACAAAAATTTCAGATTAATGTGACTGGAAGAAAATAAATCCAAAGTTGGAAGAAAAAAAAGAAATAAGAAAATACAAACAGAACTAGTAGTGGGTTTCTTGAAGAGATAAAAAAACTGATACTTAGCTAGACTAAGAGAAAAAAAAAACATTGAAAACAGAAGACAGGCAGGGCTAGAACACTGCACCCACCGTGAGAGTCAGAATAAGGGATGGGTAATATTAGATTAGGTCATGACATTAGCCAGCATGTGAGAGAACCAGGTCCGGGGCAGATTCTGTGGGGGATGTATGGGCCCACCCCTGTGACAAACCAGTGCAACGCACTGAGCTGGAAGTGATTTTGCTGTCAGCCTAGCACGTGGGTAGCTCACTGTTACCCCTCCAGTCCCACAGCCTTCGCCATACTGTGAAAAATGGGAGTTCTGGGTCTGTCGTCTGTTAGGTCTGGCAGCCACCTGGACCCACCTTGAGGAACCTGCAGGATGTGTAGTCTACACTGCCTTCCATGCGTGTTCAGTGCTATGCACTGAGCCGGAAATGAGCCTGCTCCCAGCCAACCTTTCAGTTTCACAGCTTTTGCCCGACTTCACATAATGTTGCTTGATGCGGCGCTGGTGTAGGTCTGGGCTGTGATCTCCACCCTGTTCCTGCACTGTCCCATGCAGTCTGCTGCTCATGGTCGGATCAAACAAATCAACAGCCAGGCAGCTCTTCGCCTGTGTTCACCTGAGCTCCCGGTGGACTCCCTCTCCTGGTTGCCAGTGGAACTCAGATGGCCTCGCATTGGTCGCTACTGGGTTATCTCGTCACTGCAACACCGATCCATTGTCTGCACTGCTTCCTCATGCCCAAGGGTCTCCAGGAGCCCCCTCTGCCATCAGCATGTCCTGTAGCATTCCCTGGAACCTGTCCCCTGTGTTTCACCCGGTTTAGACCTGTTCTCACCCTATACCACCATCTTGGCTTCTCCCGCGCCATCACTTCTCTACTCAGCGGATTAAGGCTGAACCAACCATTGCCATGACAGACCTTCCAGGGCCGGAAGAAAAGCCTTGGGTACTGACTAAGGAGTTAGGATCCTACTTGGAGTTTGAGAGGCAAGGCATTCCCAAGGTTTTGGAATATGGTGAGGTTCAAAGGTAGGTAGAACAGATCTGAGGAGTTTAGAACTACGACACAGCCTTGCAGACAGAAGAAAGATGAATCAGTGTCCGGTTAAAGATGATTGAGGAATATGATGAAACATTTTGGGATGAAATGTGGTGGGGAATATTTCCTGCCAGGACTTAAAGGGCATTGGCTGTTCTATGTTTAAGCGGATGTCATGCTGAGCTTATCAGCATGGACTGCAAAGGGAAAGACTAGACAAGGTAGGTTGGTTTCAGCTGACAATTTTGAGAAGCCTCTAGAATAAGAGCTCACAGCCTCACAGTCTAAGACGCCTTTCTGCCTTTCTCCAATTACAACAGTTGTAGGTTATGGGGAGTGGAGCAAAAATGGATCATCTTATACTTAGGGCCAGAATAGTAATTTTCAAAGGCTAGAAGAAGAATTTTTTTTTTTTTTTTTTTTTTTTTGCACTTGTCAGCCTTTGTTACAAATCAGGATTTGGGAGGACAAAGTACCCATTTTTACACTGGTCCTCACAGACGTCTTCTTGGTTGACTACACACGTTGTCCACCAGAGGGAGCCTGAGGATAAGGATAAGCCTTACCAGGGCTGTAACTGGTTCAAGGCAGAATCAGCGTGTGCTCCACCTTGTGACTTCATGATGTGAGTGAACCTTCCGGTTCATCTGTCCCTGAATGATGCTTTCCTCCCCAGATTTTCACAGAATAAGATAAATGGATGCTCAGAATGAAGAGTGTTCAGGTTATTCAGATATATGCGCTGATCGCAATATCTGGATCAAAGAATAAAACACAGAATTCTGCAGTTCTTAAATGGGAGATGGCTAGAAATACAGGATTTCAGTAGTTAGCACCTTCTGAAAATCCATGCTCTATTTGACAGGCTAGCTGAGAAACATCAAGTGCGCAGCAGGAGCAGCAGTCAGGTTGGGTTGGAGTGAAGGCAGGAGGCTCGGGTCCTTACACCCCGTAGGTGGGACACAGGAACACAACTCCGTGGTCCATCCTCCCTTCCTGTCACGCACATTAGCAGAACGCTGCATAGAAAGCGCCCAGCAGCTGAGGCTCCCACCAGCCACTGTGAGATGAAATGCTGGCCATTCAAGCAGTAGATGATGGCCATTCAACCAGTTCTACCACAACACCCATCACCAAGATTAGCATCTTTAAAATATATGTATATATTTTTAATTTTAGAGATGGGAAGAGCAGTAAGCTCACATCAGCCGCTTCACAGTCCAAACGCCTACAACATCCAGTAGCCAAAGAAAGGAGCTGTGAACTCAAACCAAGTCTCCCATGGGAGACTCAGGAATCCAACTCCTTCTCACACCACCTGCCGCCTTCCAGCTAGCATGGCCAGGCAGTTGGAACCCACCAGGGCCAGGTCCTGAACCCAGGTGTTCTGTATGAGACGCAGAAGTTCCAAACAGCACTTGAACCACGAAGCCAACTCCCACTGCAAAAGATAGCACCTTTTCACCAACTTTCTAAAGACTGTTTACCCGAGATGACTGCAAGTTTGAGTAAAACGCATACTTCTTTATCCGTGACTTTTCTGACAATTTCTGGATTGATGCTTTGTTCCTTTCGTATTGGGCCCGGCACGGTGGCGCAGTGTTTAAGGTCCTCGCCTTGCACGCTCCGGGATCACATATGGGCGCCGGTTCTATCCCTGGCAGCCCTGCTTCCCTTCCAGCTCCCTGCCTGTGGCCCGGGAAAGCAGCAGAGGACGGCCCAAAGCTTTGGGAACCTGCACCCGTGTGGGAGACCCGGAAGAGGCTCCTGGCTTCGGATCGGCATAGTATCGGCCGTTGCGCTCACTTGGGGAGTGAATCATGGGACCCAAGATCTTCCTCTCTGTCTCTCCTCTCTGTATATCGCCTTTTCAATAAAAAAATAATAAAAATCAATCTTAAAAAAAAGATAAATGAAACATGTTCGCTAGTAGTTCTAAATACAAATTTCATTTGTGACGTCCAGTGTTTGAAACATTGTTTACTTTTCTTTCAAGAATTCAAAGTTTGACAAGGGAGCTGGGTTACAGTCTGACTCTGTAATAAATGCAGTGCATAATGGTCATAGTAGTTTAAAAAATTAAAAAAAATTTTTTCTTTTTGAGAAATACGTTTTTGAACATATCTCAAGACATTTGATAATCTTTGCTGACTGAAGACCTTTTCTTTCCCCTAATCTATTCCGTAACTCCGACACCTGAGTATAAATTTGTGTGGGAAAAGGCACGGAAAATGAAAACTGCGTATTGAATAACGAACTAACCCTGAGACAACAGAGAGAGAAAAGTTTGGGTTGCCTCAGTTTTGTTCCTCAATCACTGTAGGATTCATATCTGCTGACATGTATTTATCTACCACAATTTAAGCTCTTAATACAAATTTGCTGAATTAACAAAGAAACTATTTGCTTGCTTTTCCTTGGGACCAGCAGCAGGATACCTGGACTCCAACACTCGGCAAAGCCCCTTTTTATTTTTCTCAGCATTGCATCAGGACTCAGCACAGAAATGTGTTGCTATG